TTTTGGGAGAACCAGGTATCTACCAAAGCCTGAAGGCACAGAATACTTATTCTTAGCAATGTCCTGTCTGTGTCAGCATTCAGTTACTGCCTTTCACTTTCCATGATGATAATTTTACCTAGGGCTTTTATAACCTCTTGGTCAGGCTATTTGAGTAACTTCCTACAGGAATGAGTCTATCTTATATTATATTTTCCTTCTTCATCTCTCCCTAGTTAACATTGTAAATGCTAAAGAATACTCTTGCCTAAGCTCATTGTCTGTTTTCTTGGTACCTGGTTACCATTTATACTGCTTCAGGTATTCATTCTTTTACTTAAAGTACAGATTCCTGCATATATTGAGTTGAATATTCCCTGGTCGTACTTTGTCAATAGTTTTCTCATTTTCACCATTTGTTGGTTTAATTGTCACAAGCTGTATTTAAGAGATACCTCATTACTCATAGATCCATTTGTCATATGAAAATACTGCTTCATTCCACTTACAATGCATAATTTTGGACAAATTGAAAAGCCTACATCAATAATAATTTGTTAATATGTTGCCATCTTAAAAGTAGACCAATTACAATAAAAATCATAATCTTAGGGGCCAGGGATTTAGCTCAGTGGTTCCACCACCTGCCTCACAGGTGCAAGGACCCAAGTTCAGTCCCCATTACCAAAAAAAAAAATAAATCGTAATCTTAGGAACAGGAAAGAATGGTGCCTCAGGACATACCAAAAAGTGGGACCAAACTGAAGCTCTTTTTCCCTCTAACCATTTATACTTTTCCAGCATACTTTTGGGGTTGTGATATAGTTTATTAAATAGTGTTTTCTTTTAAAAACAAAATAATGCCAAGAAGTTCTTATGCCTATTCAGGACTACTGTATAAATTAATTTTTTATTAATACAAAAGTGAAATGAGTTAATATTTGACCATACTGATGTTTTTGTTGCCAAAAAAAACTGGATACAAAATATTATATAAATTTGAGATTTTTACCAACTTTAAAATATGAATTTAAACATTTTATCATATTTTAAAAATAAAAACTATTTTCTTTAAAAAAGAAAAAATGTGATTTGTGTTATTTTTTTTTTGTATATCCTTTTATTGGTACATTTTAGGTGTACAGTATAATGACATTCATCATTGGATATATGGACCTTTACATACTCTCTTGGTTTTTATTTTTTCCCCCTTCCCCTGCCCTCCCTTCAACCCCTCCATTCCTCCCTATTTACAAAGACTTTGTTTCCTTTTTTTCATTTTCTCATATTGATTCCATTCCCTTCTTTCCTTTCCCCTACCCCTCCCACTTCCTCCTCCCCTTTGCCCCTTTTCTTCATATTTCACATTATCTATTATACCTTTTAGTCCTTATTTACACTTTCAGTTTCTCACACTAGAGAAACTATTTGGTATTTACACATGTGTGTCCTATTTGTTTCACTTAAGAGTATTGCCTCAGGGCTGGGAATTTAGCTTAGTGGTTCTGCTGCCTGCCTCACAAGCGGGAGGTCCTGAGTTCGATCCACGGTACCAAAAAAAAAAAAAAAGTATTGCCTCAATGTGCATCCATTTAGCAATAAATGTCTCTAGTTTCTCGTTCTTTATGGCTGAGTAGTACTCCATTTTATAAAAAAAAACACATCTTCTTGATCCAGTCTCCAGTTGATGGGCATTTGGGCTGTTTCCAAATTTTAGCTATTACAAACTGTGCTGCTATGAACATGGGCGCACATATATCACAGTGGTATGATTCTTTTAATTCTTTGGGGAAGATACCCAGCAGGGGAATAGCTGGGTCAAACGGAACTTCCAGTCCTAGTTCTTAGAGGTATCTCCATACTGATTTCCACAGTGGTTGCACCAGTCTACACTCCCACCAGCAGTGGAGCAGGGTTCCTCTTTCCCCACACCCCCACTAGCATTTGTTATTGATTGATTTCTTGATAGCAGCCATTCTTTCTGGATTGAGGTGGAATCTCAGTGTTGTTTTCATTTGCATCTCTCGAATGACCAGTGATGTTGAACATTTTTTCATGTATTTGCTATTTCTACTTCTTTGTCTGAGAAATGTCTGTTCATTTCAGATGCCCATTTTCGGATTGGGTCTTTAAATTTGGGAGGTCTGATCTTTTTTAATTCTTTATAGATTCGAGATAGTAGACCTTTGTCTGAGGGACCGCTGGTGAAAATTTTTTCCCACATTGTGGGTGATTTGTGCTATTTATTTTTATTTTTTATTTATTTATTTTGGTACTGGTGATTGAACTCGGGTCCTTGCACTTGCGAGGCAGGCGGTGGAACCACTGAGCTAAATCCCCCGGCCCTCTGCTATTTATACTTTGATTAAATTTAAAGGAGAACATCTTTGTAAGTGAGAACCAAGATTGTATTAGGCCGTGGAATCATCTTTTCAGTCTTTAGGCTCCTGAAGTCTGGCTTAATTCCTTTTAAAGGATAGGAGAACTAGATTGCTTTGCAACTATACTTCCCTAATTTGTTTAAGGAGTTTAACTTTTAGTACATTTTAAGAATTTAATTTTGGGAATTTGACACTTAGTGCAGTGACAGTATAAGGCATGGCCTTACTAAAATGTAGTTAAATACGCTTTTTAGAGACAGATATTATAGATATTGTGTGGCTGTCAGTGCCCATTTTGGGATTGAGCTTTTCTGGGGGGACGTGCTGGGGATTGAACCCAGGAACTCACAGAAGATGGATGAGCCTCATCCCTAAGCCTGGAATTGACTTCAAAGTGTGTTCATTTATGCGCTGCCCACTTATCTTCTTTACTGTTTTTAGAAGTTGAGATGCTATCCATAAACTAGCTTTGCAGAGTGCTGGCTTTCGCCCTCTGTTGATTTATTTTGGAAGTCTTTATATACATGAGGTTGAAATTTGCCAGTTGATGGTTGTGGATTGGTGGGGGGCTTCAGGGAAACAGTGCACAGTGATTAGGGGAGTTTCTGTGAGAGACTTCCGCCGTAAATAATTCTTTTCAGTTGATTTCACGGTAAAGTGGCAGCAATGTTGATATTTGCTAGTGTACGGACCAACTGATCTTGTGTACTTACGGCTCTGTCGTCTCATTGCATTCTGGAAATCTCAGAGATAAGATGGAGAAAGGGGTTAGAGAACTTACAGAGTGGGGGAATGGTCTACCCCAAAACATACTCTTGTAACCCTGAAATTGAATCCTTCTTCAGCCTGAGCCTTGAAATTTGTCAGAATTAACATTATGGCTATAGCAACCATTATCTCAGATTTTTGAAGGAACTCCTGATTTCAAGACAACCAGTTTTTCACAGTATTCTCATATTTGTCAGACTGTGTACCAGTTCAAGGTTTAAAAATGTGGCAGTTATGATTAGGATGGGATTATGCTAGGTTTTTGCTAGCTTTTCTTCATTAAAGATTGATTCTGATAATAATGATAGAGAATTGTTAAGAAAAACTGTTGCGGTAATGTTTCCCTAGTTGTTGTGACATTTTCAAACACCCCCCCCCTCGCCCCCCAGTATTTGGGATTAAGCCCAGGCCCTTTGCACTGACCTTTATCCCAGCCTTCTTTTCATTTTTAAAATTTTGAGACAGGATTTTATCAAGTTTCTAAGTTGCCCAGGCTGGGCTTGAACTTGAGATCCGCCTGCTCCACCATGCCTGGTTGATAAAGCTTTTTTTTTTTGTACCAGGTATCAAACTCGGAACCTTTCGCTTGCGAGGCAGGTGCTGGAACCACTGAGCTAAATCCCCGGTCCTTATAAAGCTTTGTAAAAGGTCATTTTCTTGATGTGAATTCTGTGGAAGACTTGGGAGGCAGTGTGTGCTCTCTGCTCGTGACACTGTTATTCCTTTTGACCTTGAGCGGGTTATTTACCCTTGTTCTGTCCTTGAGCCTTCATTTCTGAAGCCCCGATGGGACTTACTTGTAGAGCCGTTGGGAAGTGTGCAGGAGCCAGTCCTTGGCAGTCCTTGCCAGCTGCCTTTGGTTGTGTTGTGTTGTGTTGTGCTTAGAACATCTCTTCTATCAAAACTGCCTTGATGAAAACACTGTGGAGTCTCATTTACTCTTTAAATTACCTCTAGAGTTCACCCTTTCCTCAAAGCAATATAGAGACTGAAGTTAAAAGATAAATGCTAAAATCTACCCTGTGGTCTAAGGTTACAACTAGGCTAATCCCGTTGATCTTGGTGAAATTGAGAACAGCAGCCTACAGGGACATTGTGCTAGAGAAAAAATTCATCTCAGTCCTAGCCTGGTAGTTGTGTTCCCATGCTGTATAATTCAGTAATGAGTGGGTTATGGCACTGGGTCTAGAATTTCAGGGGTGAACCTGTCAGACTTGAATGTAGTAGCTGTTCCCTCGTCCTACTGCATACAGAGGATTAATAACCAGTGCCACGCCCATGCGCAGCCATGGGCTGCCGCATCTTGCCCATGATCAGATGTGTTCCTCCTCCCTTTAAGGGGAATGCAGGGATATTGTCAGGGAACAATATCCTATTCCCAGTCACTCCTGAAAAAGAAATAATAGTTTGAAAAAAATCTAAAGATACTCCTACTTTGGATCCTACCATATGGAAGGTTTGTAATAAGATGAAAATAGAATAATAGTAGATTTAAAAATAAAAGGTACTTTACTTTGCCACACACTTAGTTATACTGTATATTTCTCCTGCAAACATTTTTTGTTAAGAAAGCCAACACCAGCACATACATCTTTCCAGTCTCCATCTTTGCTCTTTCCTTACTTTTCATTTTTTTCTTTAGGGAACCCAGGAAAAGATACAAGTAGGATTGAGTATAAATGTTTAGATTGGATGACAGGTGGAAAAAGTAGAATAGTGGTGTTGAAAAGGAGCCACCTCCCAACTCTGCCAAGAAGGGGTTTTGAGCTTTCGCCTGCTGTTATGATACTCTCTGGGTGGGTTTTCCTGAAAAGCTTCAGAAGATCAGCGCTTCCCTCGGTTCCAGATGACTGCACACCTCTCTTCTTCTAGGTATCTGGTGACCCATCTCATGGGGGCAGATCTGAACAACATCGTGAAATGTCAGAAGCTCACGGATGACCATGTTCAGTTCCTCATCTACCAGATTCTCCGAGGTCTCAAGGTACAGGCAGCATCAGCAATACTTCTGAGAAATGAACTCTCCCCTCCCTCCCCTCCCTTCCATTTAGGGCTCAAGGGCCCAGGATGTAGCTCAGTGGTGCCACTGGCTGCTTTGCAAACTCAGGGTCCTGAGTTCGATCCCTGGTACCAAAAAAAAAAAAAAAGGACTTACGACTCTCACTTTTTTCATATTGTGGTAAAATATACGTAAAAAATTTATCATTTGGAACCACTTTTAAGTTCATAATCCAGCCAGCAGCCAGACCAGTTCGCAGCCCACTGTGAACACCAGCAGTTCCTACTGATGCGTGAGAATGTGCCACAGCCTGTCCTAGAACGTGACTGAGGGGAGTTGGAGATAACTTTCATCTCACGGGCTTTTCTCTCTTTCATAGTACATACATTCAGCCGACATCATCCACAGGGTACGTGTTGTGATGGTTTCTATTACCGTGGGGTGGGAGGTGGGGCGGAGGGATGACGTTTAGCTGACGTCTTCAGGGAAACTTACTTTTGACCATTGAGGTACTGATCGATACATTGCAGCTTTGCTCCAGGTTAAGACTGAGTAAAGAAATTTATCATCAGCACCTATTTAAGGCCAATCTGGCCCGCATACTGATGGTAGGGTGAGGATGGGCTGTGTGGAGCTGGGTGAGGCCTTGACTTTTACGCCCGGGTCTTCATCGTTGCGACCCTGTGAGGAGGTAACTTGTCTTGCATCACACAGTTGACCCCGTCCTCTCTGCACTTGGTTTCCAGGACCTCAAGCCCAGTAATCTAGCTGTGAATGAAGACTGCGAGCTGAAGGTAGGGGCCTCGGTAGTGACTGTTTGGTCCCATCTTGACAATATTTGTTTGGCTAACCGGGCAAACTTTCACCGGGAATGAATTTGTAAGCCATGGCTTTTCATCTGAAAATTCGTATTGTTCTTAGGAATATCAGACTTTGACATTTAAGCTGTAGACTGAGGAAGCTGTTTTTGTGACATCTAAAGTGGCGTTGGGTGTCTTGTTTTCACTGTAAAATAAAATTAAATCAGAAATGTAATTCATTAATTATAATACAGGATAATTACAGTCTGACTTCCAAGTAAGCAGTCCTCTTTAATTATTAGATTAGACAGATTCCTGAGAAGAGTGTGGCAGAAACGCACTCACTCGGAATAATCAAAATATGAGATTAGGTAATTAGTTGTTATAAAAGAGCAAACAACTTTGGAACTTTTTTGTTGTGTTTTTTTTTTAAATCAACTTTTAAAGAACAATTACAATAAAGTACACTGTTTTAAGTGTACCTTTTGGCAAATTTACATACGTAACTACCACTATTATAACAAAGAATATTTCCATCACTTCAGAAGTTTCCCTGGCCCCCTTCCTGGTAATCCTTCCACACTTAATCCTGCCTCCAATCAGCCGCTGCTGTGCTTTCTGATACTATAGGTTCATTTTTCCTAACGTTTCAAATGAATGGGATCATATATGTATTTTTGTGCATCTGGCTTTTGCTTAGTATAATGTTTTTTCCTGTGTTGCTATGTATGTCAGTAGTTTCTTCCATCTTATCACTGAGTAGTATTCCACTTTACGAGGCTATCAAAAGTTGTTTATCCACCTGTTACACGGGTATTTGCTTCATTCTAGGGGCTTTGTAAAGCTACTAAGGCTGTTCTTGTGCAAGCTGTTGCATGTATGTTTTTATTGTCTTAAGTCAATACCTAGGAGTCACATTTGTATTTTCCACTAGTTTTATTTTTTAAAAGTTCTAGTAGTATGATTACTGTGCATTATCCGTTTATGAAAGTGCTGTGTTATTTTCCTAGGACATCAGATTATTCCCTGCCGGCTTTAGAGGTCTAAGCATCTTATCTGTCCCGGTGCCTGATCTCTCTTCTTCCCCTTAGATTCTGGATTTTGGACTGGCTCGGCACACTGATGACGAAATGACAGGATACGTGGCCACCAGGTGGTACAGGGCTCCTGAGATCATGCTGAATTGGATGCATTACAACCAGACAGGTGCTGCTTGCCTTGGTTCTTTCTGCCTTATCAATACCAGTTCAAATGTATTTGGTAGAGAAGTAGATGGTGGGTGTGGGATGAACATCTTTCTTCCCTTCGTGATCCTTTTAATGTCCACAAATAGAAAATATTTCACTTGCTTAGATAAGGACGTGTGCTTTTATACACAGCTTCCAAACTTCATGTTTTAGCAATTGGGGTTTTATTTGTGTATATTTTCAGTGTAATTCTCTGAGTACTTCTTTCTGAGATGATGGGTTCATAATCTTAAACCCTCAATATTACTTGAGAAGGTTGGGCATGGTAGTGCACGCCTGTAATCCTAGCGCTCAGGAGGCTGAGGCAGGAGGATCGCTGTGAGTTCAAGGCCAGCTTGGGCTACATAGTGAGACCCTGGCTCAAGAAAAAAAAAATTACTTGAGAGAATATACTATGCTACCAATAAAAAACATTTTCCTCCTTACAAGTAGCTTATTTCTTATAACTTAAGTATGTTTTGATTTGCCCTATGTATAAAGCCCTTTATTAAGACCTTAAAGGCAAGGGTCTTAATAAGCTTACTTATTTCTATAAACGTGAGTATGATGTTGAACATGAGATGTCTTAAGTATTAATTTGAATATTTTGCCCCTAGTTATGGTGTCATTTGTGACCTGGTATAATAATAGTGATGATGTATGTATTTTTACTTTATGTATGTTTTTGTGTTCGCCCTATGTACTTTTATTCCTCTTTAACTTTGCCAGTGGACATCTGGTCAGTGGGATGCATAATGGCCGAGCTGTTGACTGGAAGAACATTGTTTCCTGGTACAGACCGTATCCTTTAAGAAGTTTTGGATTCTTGTTTCTTCTCTGCACTCCAGTGTCCACAGATGTGTATCACCTCTGCTTACCTGTAGGGAAGCCTCTCCATTTCTTGCTTTTATGTCCAGGTACTCATTATGAGGTCTGCACTCGTGCCGAGTAGCTTACCTGGCCAAGAAAAGGCTTCATTTTATTTCTGGGAGTTGGAAAGACTTTTCAAAAAATAAAAAAATAAAAGGAAAGACTTTTCATACACTGAAAACCCCTCTCATGTGCCAAATGTTGGCAGTGAGTCCCTTATCGTATTAACCCACACGGTTCTGAGACCCGAGCATACTTGGGAGAGGTTCTAGATCCCAGTGATGGGTTTAGTCTACTTGTACAGACCCTTAGTACACACAGATATTGGCCTATAAATCAGGGGTGTCTTGCTGGTATGTTTGTGTCCCAAAAGGGCTCTGTTTGATCCCTGTAATGACCTACCTGTGACTCTTGTTGTGCTTATTGTTTAACAACAAATAGTAAAAGCAAGAAGGGAGAAGGTCATCCTGTCATGTGCCTTTGTTTTCTAACACAGCTTTGTCCCAGACTGCATCTGAACCTCACTTTATTACCAGACTAGTCTACGGCTTTCCAGCCCCTCTCCTCTCTGCTGTGTGCGTCTTTCTTGGTTGAGTACTAATGTCATCAAAATGTGATTTATTGGAACTCTTATCAGTTCCATTTGGGGAAAAGGTTTAGGGAGGAAATAATGTTAAAATGTATGTCTAGAATTGGTTGAGGGGTTTTTGTAAGCCAGGTGGTTGTGGTCATGCTTTTAGAAACGCTGCAGCTCCATCTGTCCTGACTGAAAGCTGGTGTAATCCTAAGCTAGACACACTCATTGGGTTTTAAGCCACGTCAGTGACCTTGCTTACAGCGTGGGGTGTGCTGCTTCTGTGACTGTGATGTTCATGTCGTCTGTCGTGTGTTCTGTGCATCGCACCTTCTGCTAGAGACGGTACACTTCCTCAGAAACTGAGAAGCCTGTGGCTCAGGTAAAGCTGTTCCTTCTCTCAGAACATTACTGATTTAGTACAGAGTTCAGCTGCCCTCCACTTAGCTCACCACACTACTCCCCCTGGATTTTAAGTTACTTTAATACCTAGTATTTCTCCCTATCCTTTGTTTCATTCATTTTATATCTGTTTCTCAAAACCTGCTGTAAATATTGCTGTTTAAAGTTGAGAGAATTAGGGAAGACTTGTGATTCCCCCGGCTTGTCCTCTGGAGCAGATGCTGTCCTGAGCTGTCTTCTGTCCCCTCCCCTTCCTGCTGGTAGTGTCCGCACCTCCGGCTTCCACTTGGCCAGCTGCTGACGCGCTTGCCTGCCTCAACACACAGTGGCAGGGACAGTGCAGCCCGCTGGATGGAGCCTGTGCCCTGGAGTCGGACTTTCCACATTTAGATCTTAGCTCTTTTACATCCAGCTGGTGGCTTTGAGCGAGTTTTCCAATCTCTGTGTCTCTCAATTTCCTTAACCATAAAACGATAATAACAGTACATAACTCGCAAGGTGGTTGTAAGAAATCAGTGAGGTGCTATCTGGAAAGCACTTAGTCTGAAACCTGCCCGTAAATGGTAGCCATCTTCTTCGTTACTGGTCTTGGAAACAGTCTTTCCCTCTCCACCGACTTTATTGTTTACCCTTGAATCATTGATGATTAATACAGAGGAAAATTCTGTGACAGGCAGCACAGACTAGAACCCCTTGGCAGGTTAGCAGTAGAAAGTTTTCAGAGCACTGTGGTTCTTGTGCCTTTATGGTTCTCTCTCCTCTCTGGTGGCATGGCCCTTGTAGAATGCTTTCAGCCCATAAGAAATGAGAGATTCGGAGGATAATTAACCTTCCTCTTGTTGGTTGCCTGCTGTGTAGATACAGCTTTGGTTGCCTGACAAGAAGGAGGGAAGGAAGTGTTGCCCAGTACTTTTTCTTGCCTACTGAGCACCCCATTTGTGTTCTAGCACAGTGTTTTTTAACCCTTGCTGTGCATCAGACTCACTTTGGGGAGCTTCAGAATCTCCAGATGCCTGAACAACACCCCAAAGACTCCAGTGGAGGTGGTGTGCGCCAGTCACGGGCCCTGTGGTGCGAAGTCTCCAGATGACTGTCGTGTGCATCAGGGTTGAGAACAACTAGAGTTTAATTCAGTTGAATTTAGTTTTAATCTTGGCTGATCCTGAAAGGTTAGTCTAGCGGTCTTCCATCATTTTTCTGCAGGTGCCGGCAGGATCAAGCAGTTTCTTTCCGGTGTTTTGATCTGTACTGTTCTGACTTCCAGAGCTTCCCTGCTCAGGGCCCCTGGAGCCTGTGCTGGCCCCACACCCTCTCCTCGGCTCCAAAGGCAGCAAACACGCAGCTACACTGTTGATGACTTAAACGTAGCTCACTCCCAAGGCAGCCTCCAGAGAGTGCTTAGTCTTCTGCCTGTTTTCCTCCCTTGCCAACACACTATGCATGCTGTAGTGCCTAGACAAAACTATCCAACTGAACTTGGTGGTATTGCAAATGTTTTCTGTCTCTTGTCCAGACTGGCCTGTGTGGCTGTTGAAATATGGCTAGTGTGACTCAGAAACGGAATTGAAAGTATTTTTGTGATTAAAAAAAATATATATACATAACATAAAATTTACCACTCTCACTTTTTTCGTATTGTAGTGAAATATTTGTCATTTGGAACCACTTTTAAGTTCATAATCCAGTCACGTTAATTACCCTCAGGATGCTGGATGAGTGTCACCACTGTTACTCCCATGACTTGCCCACACCTTCCCTGGAGGCGAGCGGACCCGGTCTATCCAGTGGCCCAGCACACAGACCGGGTACTAGGAGGGAGAGAGGATGTGGCCGGCTGTCTCCGAGGGTAGCACTAGCTTACTTCAAGGGCCACTGATTTTTTTTTTTTGGTACCAGGGATCGAACTCAGGTCCTCGAGCTTGTGCAGCAGGCGGCGAAACCACTGAGTTAAATCCCCGGCCCCAAGTGCCACCGATTTTAAAATGAGTGAGTTAGAAATGTTACCGACTCTTGACACGACAGCATACAGGAGAGAGAAAATAAGTTTTGCAGCCCTGTTAATGTGTCAAAAGTGGTGTTTTCTACCAGAGATCACAGCCTTGGCTTGTGAATCGGCTCCTTAATTCTACTGTTACTCATTTCTTCTTTTGATCTTCCCCACACATGTTAAGGAAGCATTCCGGGCACATCACAAGCCATGATGTACGGAAGACCTGTGTCCGCTCTGCCTGGAGGATGTGAGAAAGTGGGAGCCCTCTCGCCACCTCTGCTCTTTGCTGTCAGTCATTGGTTTCAGATATTCTTCTTCGTTTCCAAAAAAGCAGTTTTCCTGGAGATACTAAGAGCAAGTGTCTTAATAAATGTTGAGAAAGAAAAAGTACTTCATTCGATTATTTACCTACTTGCTTCTCTAACTTGAGAATATATTTTCCCTGAAATTCTCAGGTTTGTGCACAAACTCAGGCTACCTTAAGAGACTGTGTGTGTGACAGTGAAGATGAGTGTTTTGACAACCCCCAGGAGCAGGAAATAGGCTGGGTTTCATCCCAGCTCCTGCTGTCTGTCACGAGGAGGGCTTCCTGCTCTCCCAAACACCAGTGGGAAGGCTGCTGCTCACAAGCAGGAGGCTGCCCTGCCTGTTACTCACCTCCCTGGCCTGTGGAGGTTTTCGAGGAGTTGCCTAGAGTGCTTCAAAGTGACTGGAGTGGCCCTCTTTTACATTCCTCTAATCGCTCCATTACTTTTCATTTTTTTCCTTACCTACATGTTCATTTTCACTACTTTTTGCTTCTGTTACAAAGAGGTTGATCTAAAAAAAAATTCTTAAACCTAAGTTGTCACGCTCTTCTTTATTTATTTTAGAAAGGCCTTGGAAACTTATGATTTTAAAATTTAGCTATGCATGGTGGCACACGCCTGTAATCCCAGCACTTGGGAGGCTGAGGCAGGAGGATCACTGCATTCTGCAGCCAGGCTGGGCTACACAGTGAGACCCTGTCTCTAAAAGCCTAAATATTAGTAATATTAGAAATTGTGATTATTACAATTAAAATGCATTTTACACTAACAAAAGTATCTTCTACTGGGCGAGGGATTTAGCTCAGTTGTGCCACTGCCTGCCTCACAAGCGCAAGGTCCTGAGTTTGATCCCTGGTACCAAAAAAAATTCTACCTAGGGAAGAAGGGGTAAGCTCAATTACAAAGGATGGCTTGCTGCGGAAATAGCTGTGTGCCACGCTGTAGTCCCTTTTGCTTTTACTCGAAGCTGCTTCAGTGGATTTTTGGGCTTTTGGAGAACTCATGGTGATGTCTGCTGAGGTTTGCATGCTTTCACTTTGTCTGTGTCCTAAGCTTGTAAATATTGGCTGTCTGTCCACAGCCTGTACCACTCCCGCTCTGTATGTGTTTGCTGTCTTTGGTGTAAACATTTCGGAGCAGGGTATCTGAGAACTTCATGAAGCCCAACATTAGAGAAGCACCTTTTCCGACTCCTTTTTTGGATATAAACTTTCAGTAGAATACGATCGCTCTGGGCTTTGAGGGCAAGCTGGAGGCGTAGAGAGGAAGTGAAACGCTTATTGCAGCGAGTCTTTTCCCGGGCAGTCCTCGCCAGCCTGCTCCCTGAAGGCACTGAGAGTAGGGTGGCCCCGTGCCCAACACCAGGATCATGAGACGGAGTGGAAAGTGATTTACAGGAGTTGCTTGGACAAATGCCCACCTCCTGCTGTTAAGCAATGTAGAGCGATAAAAAAACCCTGGAATAGAGCTGTAAATTATTTTAAAAAGTAAAGAATTAATCTGAGCTCAAGGTAGTCAGGAAGCCTCCACAGCAGATTCTTGTTTTGCGTGGATCTTGACAGTTACTAGGAAGGGAAATGGCTTGCCCTCAAGAGAGAGTGGACAATATTCTTGTTTACACCCCGCACCAGTAAGAGCCTGGGAGCGCAGAATTGCC